CGAAGAGCGGCTTCTCTCCGCGACACTCCAGGCGCAGGCCTCGAAGTCCTGGGGTACGGCCTGCCAGCGCGGTCAGCAGCTCCGTGGCCATCCGGCGGCTCGGCTCCTTCGATGGCTCAAATTCCAAATGCAGATTGCGAATGTGGTCCAGGCAGGCTGACAGATAGGGTGGCAGCATGCCTTCTCGCTCACAGTAGCAACTTGGGGTTAGCGCGGTGGAGAAAAAGCATGGGCTGTGTCCCCGAGAGCAGAAGAGAAACCTCTACCCATCCCTCGGCCTGGATTCCAGCTACCATCCCCTTCTGCTCCCTACCCATACACCTCCCTGACCCCTGACCCGACCCTGCCTGGTTACCCCAAACTAGCCGCTAATGCTGGGAGGGAACGCCCCCCCCCCATCCCTTTAGAAGACTTCAGATGCATCTGATGCAAGTTGAAACCCTGGCATGGAGACCCAGGGTTTTAGGAACTGGGTTTTCTCAGTGGTCTCTAAGGAGACATGCATAGCCAAGTTCACACTCGCTTCTGCTACACTCTAGCTGAGTGACTTGCAGGAAGTGTTTAACTCTTTCTGCCTCAATTTTCCATCTGTGCAATGGAGATAGTACTACCTATTAATATATGTAAGGCACTTATAACAATAGTACATAGTAGGCAATCAATAAACGTTAGTAATTATTATTCTTTTTAATACAGGGAGTCACTGAATCTCCCCAACCCCCAGACTCCATGGAGAGAGGGAGAAGACTGGAAGGTGGCAGGAGGAAGGAGGGGAGGAATGGGCTCACCTGATGGTCGTGTCATGCCACACAGCGCTGCAGATGGCAGCAGCGGCCCAGGCTCTGCAGACCCTGGCGGCGGCAGCGCGGTCCCACAGGGGCAGGTGGCAGAAGATGAGCGCCAGCACCTCCTCGGGCAGTTGCTCTCCAGGCTCAGCCATTGCTGGCGTGGGGTGGGGATTGTGAGGCTCCCAGGAGCTCTGGCTTGGAGAGAGAAGGGTGTCCCTGGGCACCGGAAAGCCAGAGTGTGGAGGAGAACACCAGAGCCCATGTATGGAAATACCTGTGGCCCAGGAGCTAATACACAATTTGTGGAGCCCAGTGCAAAATGCAAATGCAGTATTCGTTCAAAACATGTTTAAGAACTTCAAGCCAGTGACAAGCAGAGCATTTAACCAAGTCATCAAACCAAGCATGGGGCCCTGTGCTACTGCACAGGTCTCAGACTCATGAAGTCGGCCCTGGATGCTGAAGGATTTCTGGTTTATTTGCTCATTTATTTATTTATTTATTTATTTATTTTCTCGTTTAGAAGGGAAATTGCTGACTTCATGAAGAAATTTGCAAGTTTAAGTTTTAATGATCTGGAATATTTTTAAACAGTACTGACAATCACTTGGGGGGGGGATCCCCATTTTATACAGTATTAAAAGGAAAGCAAGCACGACCTATGCGCCAAGTTGATAAAGTCCAGGTGCCCCGGTTTTAGACAATGCTCTCTGATCCTCCTCCCAGTTACTAAAGTCTTTCCTAGAGAGGTTGGAAGGCGACTGCATAGGCCCTGACTGAATAACCTGGTCCTCCCCATCCAGCTCAGAGAGCCCACCTTCCCTTCCCCTGCCTCCCTTTACACTCAGAGCTGCCCGGGCCAGTCTTCAGGGGTCACTGAACTGCTTCCTTCCCAGCTTGGACCATAAGTACTAGGGAAATGTCCTCTCATCCTTCCCACTACTAGATGTAGATCTTTGAGCATAGAAATTTTTTTTTTGATAGAAATTTTTTAAAATGTTTTGTTCACAACTATATCCCTATACCTGGAGGGCCGCTGAAATGAGGCCTTCTCAGACTGCGAGGGGCCCAGAATCACTCCGACATTTGTTCCCAATACAGAATCCGCGGCCCCATCTACTAAATCAGACTCTCTGGAAAGAGGAGGGTCCAGAAATCTGAATTTCAACAAGCGCCGGTGGACTCCACAGGTCCCAAGGCGATAAACCCCCCTACTAGCCTCGCGGGTCCCTAGAGAGTGACAATAGGGTTAATAGGGCGGGAGCATTAAGGAAGACTTTTAATTGACAGGGACCAGAGCCAATCAGGAAGCGGAGGGGCGGTGGGGCACGGCTGAATCCGCCCAGAGAGGGGAATGCCCTTTCCCGTCCCCACCTCGCGGGGAAGTCGTCCCAGGTACTTCCAATGGGAAACTAGTGGGAGGAAAGCTTGGGGCTCTGGGTTCAAGTCCCGATCTTGACCCCAGGGCAGTCCAGGCTCCCAGACTCAGCTGGGATTCCGCAGGTCCACCCCCGAGCGCGGCCTTTCCCGGGCGGGGGTTGTTGGAAAAGTGTGCATCCTCTTTTAAGTTGCCAATGTTATTTTAAGGTGCTTGAAGGTTTTCATACACCACGTTCCACACCACTTGCCAGTTTTCGATTCCCCGTATTTTCCAGACTAACGCTTCCTGCTGGAATTTGTGTGTGTGTCCTGGAAGTTAAGACACCCTCGATCAGGCTTCCACCTGGGACCCACCGGCACCCCGTCTTGAGTGGCCGGGAGCAGCAGAGATCGGAGATCAGAGATCACCGAGCTCGATCCCCCAGAAAGCACCCGAACATTCTGGTCCCCAGGGGACGTTCCTTTGTTGACCCGTCTGTTTCCCGCCCGAGGAAGCGGGGCAGCTCTCTCGCCCTGGAGCCCTGTGGTCTCGTGAGAGCCACAAGTCCCCGAGGTCCCTGGCCGCGGGCAGTGTTTCCTGCCGTCTAACCTCGGACGCCAGTGTCTTACCTGCTCAGTGGAAAGGCTGGGGACTCGCGGTGGAGAGCAATGGGCGAGAAGGAGCCGCGGGGAGCCCCGGGGGCGGGACGCCGGGGCGGACAAGGCGGCTCGAGCTGGGGCGCCGCCCCTGCGCTTGGCGCACACCCGGAAGCCGCGCGAACCCGGTGGAGCTGGCGTGGGCAGCCAGGCCGGGCCTGGGGGCCAGGTTAGTGCAGAGGGTGGGTGGGCTTCGCGGTGCTGGCGGGAGCAGAGGTGGATCCTGGCTCAGGATCGTGGAAGCGGGGAGGTTGTCATCCGCGGCTGCCGGCCAGCGGGTAGCGGTGGCCTATTGGGCTGTTTACGTGGGAGGCAGGAAAAGGGGTACCGACCTTGGCCCCCCGGGTTCCCTGTCCCAGCTAGGGGCTTTCGAGAGGCCGCAGGTGAGAAGGCGGAGCAGGTTTTGAATGAATCTGTGAGCAAAGACCTCTTGCCCCGTCCCAACCAGTCGTGCGTGAGAAATCCCAGCGTGAGGGTGGGCTAGTGGGAGGCTTGGGAGCTCCCCTGCAGGGCTCGGAAGGGGTGCAGCTGAGTAGGGGGCGCGCCCGCCCGGATGCTAGGAGTCGCAGGCTTCCAGTCCTCTAGGGCCCACGCCCGCGGGCTGTTGCAGCTCACCCGGCCAGAGGTGGGGCTGTTCCCCCTTCCCCTCCCCCACTGTGAGGGCGTGTTAATGGGGCGATGGCCCCTGGCTGTAGAGGTGTATTTTCTTGAGTCGTACCCACGTGTCACTCAGTCTCAGCCCAGCCAAGCGTTCCCGGGACGCATCCTGGCCGGGCCCAGGGAGGCAGACTCCAGGAGGGTGAGGCTTGGGGCTTCCCGAGGAGGGGCTTCTGTGGAAGGAGGCGTAGGAGGAGTTCCCAAGGGGACTAGGAGCCAAGGCCCCGGCAGACCTGTTGGACTTCCCCGATTTGTCCAGCCCCAGTGGGTGTGATGGAGCGTCCCCACTCCTCCAGGTTTCCAGTGCCCCCCCCCCCCAAAGCCTGCTGGGCAGACTCTGGCTCGTCCTACCACCTCCCTCCACCCCTTGGGGCGGGACCACATCCATCCATGGGGTCTGCACCTTCAAGTCAGGGGACTAAGAAAACATGAAAGAGCAGACCTTTCCAGGGTAGATTTTCACACTCTTTTACCCGCCTGGGGCTCTCCCCCAGGACTTGTTTCCCTACTTGGCCTCACTTGCACCTACAGAGATTCACCCCGTTTTGGTTTTGTTCTTTTTTTGTTTTGTTTTGTTTTTGCTTTTTAAGCAAAACAAATTAATTTTGCTTTTTTAATACAAAGGACATGTATTTTACATAAAATAGAATATTGCTAAATACAATAATTGACCCTCCCCCCAATCTCCTCCATTCCCATAGAGCATTGTTTTGGGTAAACACACAAGTATTAATATGTTTTCTACCAAAAGGTTATTGATGTGGGGGTGGGGGGCTCAAAAGCCATATCCCTGAGCTCAGACTCAGGATAGGACCATCACCAGGTATTTTTCTTGCCAGGTCTGGGCTATGCTGCATGGCCCCTGCCCAGTTACTGTCCAGGCTTTGGCTCTCAGGTTGAGGTCTGGGGCAGATCTGAAACAGCTGCCCCAACACTATCCAAGTCTATGGTCCTGGCTCCTTCTGGCATCCCTCCTCCGAGGTTCCCTGTCCCTCATGTAAATAGATGCCAGCTGAGACCACCCCATCTGTACTGCCCAGAGCAATGAATCAGTCCAGGGTGCTCACACTGGGGCTCAGCACGCTCCTACCCACCATATGTAAATGCCAAAGGCCAGAGAGTAAAGAAGGCTGATGGGGCAGGAGGTGGGGTCTTGAGCCCCTGTTTATAGGATAGATAAGGGTGGGAGGTTGCCTCAGGTGAGGTGAGGAGGAAGGAGCAGGCCTCTTGGCACTGTGACTAGGAGGCCACTGAACTGAAGGTCAGTGCAGTGTGGTTCCCTGGTTGGGAATTTTGCCCCTGGTCTAGGGCTAGGATTTTGTCAGTAGATGGAGGATATGCCAGAACCACGGGGCCCTGGCTCTCTCTGAACAGGCAAGGAATCTGTAATAGAACAATTTCAGTTGCATAAGACAAGAGCCCAGCTCCAAGTACTTTGGACCAAAAAGGAATGATTTAGCTCACATAATGGAGAAGTCCAGGGTGCAGCTGGAGCCAGGGGCATAGTGTGTGGTTGGGAGTGCACCTCCTCATCTCTGGGCTCTGTTTCCTTTGTGTCAGTTTCATTTTCATTCATGCTCTTCCCAAGCAGTGACAAAGGATGGAGACCTCCCCTTCCTTCAGCTCAGCCCCAAAGGTAGAGAAACTAGTGCCTCTTTCCTATTGGTCCGGCCAAAGTTGCAGGTTGCTTGGTCTGTCTTGAACCTGCCGGACTCTGAACTCATCATTTTAGAAAGGTGAATGGAATATGCAGGTTGGCCAGGCCTGTTTCACATGCCCACACCTGGAGCGAGGGAGTGGGGGTTAGCCCTCCCAACAGGCACATGGATTAAAGGGAGGAGAGAAGGCCCCCAAAGTCCATCAGGATTGGGGAAGGGAATCTGGGCAGGCACCAACTATAGGTGTCCTTTGAAGTGAAGTCAGAATGTGTAGTTAGGAATGCAGGTGAGAACACTGCTGTGGTGGGAGAGGGGGCTGTGCCCTAAGGGATCCTGGGAGCTCAAGCCTAAGCTGAGGGCATACCAGGGCCTGGGTCCCGTTGGCTGTGTGGCATGGGCACCTTCAGGATGACGTGTCCGGTCAGCTTTGGTAAGAGAGACAGTTGGTCTGAGGAAAAGGCATAACTTCTCTGCCTCCACTGCAGGATAGTACCTTTCCCCTCTCGCTACTGTGACCACGGGCTCTTCTTCTGAGAAGGCAGTGGAGGGAGGGACAGTCCTCACTGCAAGTTTGGGCTGAGCTGGGCTGGACTCTGTAGAGCCAGACACACAAGGGGGCTGCCTGTGAGATGATGAACAAGTATGCCAACTGGGTGGGGACAACTGGGCCAGGTGGGACTGGATGGGTTGCCCCCAGGGCTGGGTTTGGGGTGATCTGGATGCCTATCTGCATCTCCAGGAGGCGAGATGGCGTCTGGGCCAAATGGGCTGGAGGAGTGGGTGGGCAGCGCATACCTGTTTGTGGAGTCCTCGCTGGACAAGGTGGCCCTGTCAGACGCTTACGCTCATCCCCAACAGAAGGTGGCGGTGTACAGGGCTCTTCGGGCTGCATTGGCAGGTGCGTGATTGAGTCATACGGTGTAAAAGGGGAGGCTCTTGGTGGGCGGGCCCAGGGGCTGAGACACCCCCCCCCCAATCTGTTCAACTCTGTGGGCATGTGCCTAACCACCAGTAGAGAAAAGATTTGATGGCAAGGATTGGACTGGTTGCTTAGGCTGTCTTCTTTGTTACCCATATGCGCCCTTGGGTGTAGATATCTAATCTACGTGTCTATGTATGGTCTACCTATGTGTGCACTAACGTCCTCCACTCCCCAAACCAGTCGGATCACTGCTTTCTACTAATCGCGCACATCTCTCTCCTCTTTTCCTCTCTCACTGCAGCACTCCTTGCCCCAAACCCCTTCCCAGTAACTACCTTCCGGGTACCCCTTTCCCATATCAGGACAGAGGCGACAGGAGACTGAGCCTGGTTGGGGGATCCCACTCTGGGGCAGCAGGAGCCATACTTGGTGGAGGCCTAAGACCCGAGACCTCCCACCCCTTCCCTGCCCCGCTGGCCTTTTACCCAGATGGCTTGGCTGCCCAGGGCATTCGCCCCCCTCTGTGCTGCAGTCTCTCCGCCCGTCCCTTTTGTCCACCTTAATTTGGGGCTCCAGAGATGGGGCTAGGATAGGTCCCGGCCTTCATTCTGGCATCCCAATTTTGTTTTCTGGCTGGGAGCTCTGGGGTAAACCCGCGCTCCTAGGTCTGGGGGCGAGGGAGGGGCTCTGGCCGCGGGCTTCACCCCCTCCTCCGACTGCTGGGAGAACGGTCCGGTGGCGGACCGTCTGGCGCCTGACTGCCCGCCTCCGCAGAGAGCGGGAGCCCTGACGAGTTGCAGATGCTCAAGATCCACCGCAGCGATCCGCAGCTGATTGTGCAGCTGCGTTTCTGCGGACGCCAGCCCTGCGGCCGCTTCCTCCGCGCCTACCGCGAGGGGGCGCTGCGCGCCGCGCTGGAGGGCCGCTTGGCCGCATTGCTCACCCTGCACTCAGTGCCGTTGCAACTGGAGCTGCGCGTCGGCGCGGAGCGGCTGGACGCCTTGCTGGCAGATGAGGAGCGTTGTTTGAGTTGCATCTATGCCCAGAAGGTGCGGCGGGACTGGGCCCAGAGGTGGGGCAGGGATTCGTGGCTAAGACCCCCACCGACGCAGCATTCCTCTCCCTAGCCTGACCGGCTCCGGGACGAGGAACTCACGGAGTTGGAGGATGCGCTCCGGAATCTGACTTTTGGCTCAGGGGGCCAGGGTGGCAACGTAGTGCTAGCTCCAGCCCCCATGCAGTCCCTGGCCCCATCTTCGTCGGAGAAGCCACCGCCACCGCCACCATCTGGCCAGACTTTTATGTTCCAGGGCCAGCCCATAGGTGAGACGCTCTTGGAGAGGCAGAGACAGGGTCACCTGGAAATGGCAGGGCGGGAATGGAAGGGTATCGGTGTGCTCCCGCCCCCAGCTCACTCCGCTTCTTCCTCCCCCCACCCCCCTTGCAGTGAACCGGCCAATAAGCCTGCAGGACCAGCAGACGTTTGCGCGCTCAGTGGGCCTCAAATGGCGCAAGGTTGGACGCTCCCTGCAGCGTGGCTGTCGCGCACTGAGGGACCCAGTGCTCGACTCCCTGGCCTATGAGTACGAGCGCGAGGGGTTGTACGAGCAAGCCTTCCAGCTACTGAGGCGCTTCGTGCAGGCCGAGGGCCGCCGCGCCACGCTGCAGCGCCTGGTGGAGGCGCTCGAGGAGAACGAGCTCACCAGCTTGGCAGAGGACTTGCTGGGCCTGGCGCATCCGGATAGCGCCCTGGCCTAGCCTGGGTACCAGACACAGGGACGGTCAGCCAGTTGCCCAGCCAGGGTTTGGAGCACCTGGATGACTCGAGGGTCCCTTCTTGCTGCTACGGCTGCCCTGTCCATTCACAGGATTTACAACCCTACTTAAGTGGCGCTGCTGGGCAGAACTGCCTGCCTTCTCCAGGAGTCAGACCGGCACCCACCATGCCTGCTGGGGTGCCATTGGGGATTCCTCCCCAGATACTATGATAGGGATAGAGTCGTGGGGGTGATCTGCTGCAGAGGTCGGCCTCACCTCACCTATCCCAGAAGGGGGGCTTTTGGCCAGCCCTTACCTCTTCTCTCATTGCACAATCACTCATTAGGCACCTGCTGTTGTTTTAGGCATCATCCTGGGTGCTACAAATACTTTGGTGAACAAGACAGCTCCCAATTCACACTCAATATGGGACTCCAGGTATTAAGCAACAGTAATAAAATGTTACCTGTTTCTCTTTTTTAATATTTAATTTTTTGATTTG